ACTGCAGGCCTTAATACGCAATCACTGGCTTACAGGGTGAACCATCTGTCCCTCATATGAATTTTCTATTGGCCTGGTATGAAATAATGGACAGGTATGCATATGTTCTTTTAATTGATAGATCACGGACGGGCTGATAAGGGTAAAGATATCAGATGGTGGTCCCATATCGCTTGCAATCTCATCGCATGACTGGTATAAACGGCGGTACCTTTAAACTCATCATCATAATGCCTCAGTTGACTCCCGACATGTTGCTCTGAACATCTGCTGATTTGGACTTTATCAAAGTGGTATCGTTGCGAAACGCCAGACAATTGACAAGCCCATGATTGGGCGGTTCCGGCAACCTCAATGGAAATTTGGACGGGCTGGTTGAAATCGCACCATGAGCAGGAACAGGCTATCTATCGTGATCGACAGTCAAACATGAGCAATTTTGAAATGAAGGTGTCGAAATAAAAATATTCGTTATTATAACACCGTGCAAAAGCGACACCGTATGTGAAAGCTTCATACAGACACAAACATGTCATCGCCGATAGCGCGCGCAATACTACATATATGAACCGGCGCGGTGTCCACTATGCGCAAATCAATGCCGCCTCTCAGTAGTATCGATGGTTGGACTCACCGCCGATGTAGCCAATAAAAGACCAGCATGAACAGTTGATCCATCAGACCATAACAGCAGGAACTCGCTAATCAGACATGTCGTCGCCGTTAACACAACCAGTGCTTGGCAGAACCAATCACACTTATTGTGGGAGGCATCATTACTAAGCAGGACAGCAATATGGCATAAACATTTACCTTTCGTTTATTGCCATTCTTTTATTTGACTAATGAAATGCTTTCAACTTACTTAATCCTTTATTAAAAAGTTTTGTAAATTTTTACAACAAAGCAATTCATTACCGCATTTTTAAAGTTATACGAGATTGCAAAAAGCAAATAGAGCACTAAGATTGACCAAATGATTAAGTAATTGACTAACTGACTGCTCCTGTTTTCACCATTTTGATATGACAACAATAATAATTTCGGATTTATTTGCTTTGATTTCAATGCGGAGAGGAAAATATTTGACTTGAAATATGTATTCTTTTTAATACCGCTAAAAATTATTTCTTGGTTAAGAAGGTTATTAAATATCATTAAAGTCCAAGATGCCTGGAAAACATCACTTCTGACTTTGATGGCGCTATTAAAATTCACCCACGTCTTCGATATATTTATCGTCTACATAGCCACTTAAGGGATCCCGGTTTGAAAGTCAGTCTGTCTCCAGTACTTAAGCTTAGCCCTTCTTCGTTTTTATATTTATTGATAGACGAATAACGGCCGCCAATAGTGCTCTAAATTATTTTATCTGATTTTATAAAAGATAAGGAAGTAATGCTCAATATTCTCAGAAAAAATTAGCAATTGATAGTAAAGAATTCTCCTAAGCCTGTTACCTCATCCTTCATGTTAACTTTCCATATAGTTGCCCTTGTCTGATTTTTGTATATTTTGAAATACGCTAATGAATTGCATTGTAGTATAACGTTATAATCCCTTTTTTAATAAAAGAATCATTAAGAATGTTGAACACACATATTTAGCCAAATAAAGGAATAATAATGAACGAGAGGCCTATGTTTATTCCTCGGAGGCAACTAACTACCTGAGATAGAACAACTACCTGAGATAGAACAATGCAATAACTTACAATACTTGTACAGGTAACACATTAAACCCAAATACTTTATACTAAATAATAGGTCTGTAGATGCGTACATATATACTTTTAATTAGTAGATCCACGCACAGGTACAAAAAATAGGTAAAAATAATATAAAGTTCCGAAACTTAAGCCTAACAATGACTGGTATAAATATGCCAAAATTTTCTTCTCAACATCATTATTTTACACTTTGAGCAAGCTAAAATTATGGATTTATCAGCCAGCAATGATGCATTTAGGAAATGTGAATGAATCGACAGTATCGACAAGGTCAATTTTAAATGTTGGCTGAATTGGAATACATGATTTGACCGAATTAAGAAATCGCCAACAACGGAACAAGCGATCATAAAAAAAAAAAAAGCAGAAAATAAATACATTAACATTGTTGATACACTTATGCGGTGTCTACGTATGAAAAAAGCTCCGGTCAAATGAGTATGGTGTTACCTATCCAAATAATGTCACCTATTAAAAATGCAGAATATATTAAGAAGGATTTAGACGCATTGAATACCTCTTCTACAGGGCAGTCGTTCATCGAGACATCCTCGCCTTCGTCAATACAACCTGTGCTTGTTAGAACCCATAATCCACTTGTTATTGAGGGCATCAATACTAAGCAGGAACCGACCGATCAGGAAAACATATCTCCCCACGTTTCTAGTATAGATCACCAAAATGTAACTTTACCATTAGAGGAATTGTCTGGTGCCCAAATAGTACCAGATGTCATACCCACATCCAAAGTGGATTTGGCTAAAATAATTGTGACGGAAGCGTCAATTACTACGCGGCAGCTTATAAGCTTTATCTTCGACCGTCAAACTCTTGCGACGCACACACTTAGTGGCAAACCTTCGCCAGCTTTTCTGAACCGTGATCGCCCACTGATAGCGTAATAGACCCACTGAATGGGGCTGATGCAATATATTATCTTAAATCCGAAACGCAATCACAATGAAATGTGCCGATACCGCCAAAGCCATTAAAAGGAGGAGCTTAACCAAAGCTAATGTAAATAAATTATTGTAATACCTTAGATATTTATATATGATACAATATATTATATGTAATTGCAGTTATTTTAGTTGTAGTTGTTTAGTGAATAAAATATTAAAATTTCGAAAAAGATATGTGCTTGTATTGCTTCTTAGTAGGGGGATTTATTATCGGTCGAGTCGAAAGAAAAAATTTGAAACGATGTATAACGAATCGAGATAATTGAAGAAATGTGTCTTCCTATTGGCATTGCTCCCCCCAACCTGGTAATACTAATTTATACTTAAAGTTTCGCCAGTGGTCGAAATTCGACCAATAGAAATTATAATTAATTCACAATGTTAATAGTATTTAAATTACATTGTAGAATTTGAATAAAATCTAAAGAAAGTTGTAGAAAAAAAAAATAAAAGTGTATAATTCATTCTCGTGCAAAATCACGAAGAAATTATCTCCCGAATTGAAGTGTTGATGTCGATTCAACCAACTAATTGGCCTTGGAAAAAATGGTAAAAAACTTAACTATCAAACAATGCACTTCAAATTTACTTAACAATTTCTAACTCATTAAAATGAAAGGAACGTTGTCAATTCAGTTTTCGTTAAAAATTGCAACAAACCAACCGCATGCAAAGAAAACGGGAAAAAATTCAATCATTTCCTGCTGTTGTTGATATTTTCGATACAACCAACTACATAAAATTGATCTTTGTATAACAAATTTAAAAATAATTTAAAAAAATTAAAAATGTTTAACTCACCAAAATAAAACGAATGATATCAGAGGTAATTTCTACTTCAATTTGTTTAGTTTTTTCTAAAACAATACTTGAAATTTAATGTGCGTAAAAAATGTATTTGCAGCAGAATTCAATGTTGCAACACGCAAAGTCCAAACACAATTCAAAGTGGAAAAAATCGCAACCCAAATCCCCAAACCGTAGACGATACACAATTATGCGTTATATGCATTAGCAACTTATTCAGAACAGTGACGAAATGTACTTCTGTATATGACTGTGTTAAGTGTGATGCGCTACGGAGAAATAACATCGAGCACTTTTATTTAAATTTTTATTTTTTTTATGTGAATAATTCAATATTACCCCAATTCTCTAAGGAGTTGTCAATAATATCCCCAAAATATAGAGCTATTTGCTACGCCAATCAAATTTCTTACTAAACAAGACTTTGTGCATAGTACATACATGGTAATTGGTATTGTAAATAGAGAATTTCTAACCAAATTCCGGTTACTACGAAATTCAAGGAAAACAATAATAATAGTTCAGTCGAAATGTTCTTCGTGGATTGGTATGGACATGAGGAACCAAAAAGTAGAGATTCACTTCACTATTGAGGTTAGGTATGGTGCGTGTTCGGTGGAGTATATGAAATTAATTAAATTTCAGGCTTAAATGTAGTAATGCGTGGAAAATACATCAAGAGTAATCATAATAATTATTACTCATTTGGATTCTAATTTTACACACATCACTCAAATAAGAACTTGTAGGCATGAGTTTTCTTTGCGAATCGTTCAGTTGGAAAGATAAGATTTTAGCAGCAATGCTGAATAACTGAATGATTGATTGCCTCTTTTCCCAGCATGATGCTACAGCTGTTTTCAGCATTTTGATATGCTAGCAGCAATATTTTTGAATATATTTGCTTTGATTTCGATGTGGCGAGCCAATCGTTTTCTCTAACTTATTTGAAGTAATGAATAAAGGCTGATCGATTGACTTATCGTCACTCTACAATGGAGGTCTTTTCCATTTTAAATACATGCTTCAAACCCATTAATTCCAGTTTGTCATACGTTTTGTGGATCAGCCCAAATTAATAATGCATAAGCTTTAATTTTGTTTTAAAAGAGCTGGGTTACCAAACAAAATTTTATAGTAATACTTGATAGTGGTATTATTGTTCTACCATGAATTTGGTATTCTTAAAGTAGTAGCGATCTTTTGAAAGCCTAATACTATAATTCGTGATGCATTGTTTTCGTTTATCTTTAGTAATAATCGCTTAGTACTATAGAAATAACCAGTGTCCCTTAAACTCTATTACAGCAAGTTCTTTGAAGTCTCAATTATAGCTTTTACACCGATACAGATTATATCGAAACAATATTGTAATATACTGCTTTTAAGGCCTACTTTTAGGGGCATTTCTAATTAAAACCAATTTAAGTTAGTGATTTTCAGAATTTGCTGACGCTAATCTATTTTTGGACACATAACTACTGCCGTAAAAGCATGTAACTGCTCATATGAACAAATATAATGTGTTATCATTGGAAAAGTCGAAACAAAAGCAGTCTGTACAAAAATCATTAAATTAGTCGACGCTATCAATCATATGAGTAGCTCGGCAGCGAAAAACAGCAAAGAAATCCAACCGTCTGTCACCTTTGTGAGGTAGTGGGATTTCGAAAGCATATATTTTTGCTTTTATCTACAAATTTTAGTTGTTTTTTGCCGTACATTAATCATAGTTAGCAAAGCTTATGCGTCAGCAGCATTTACGTTCAAATAAAATAATAAAATACCGTTAGTTCGCTTGAATATGTTTGACTGTCTCGCTGATAGTCATGTTACGAATAAAATACGTGAATATTGAAATTGTTGTTGATGTTGGGCTCCCATATTCACAAAGGCTTTTCTTTCATGTAATATTTTCACTAGATTCTAATCAACTTTTGACTCCGCACATTTGTAATTTAAAATTCAATTTTTGTAACTTACGTCTGCTTGAGAGTGCGTCAACACCAAGCCCAACAGATGTCGCTCTCAGTTTGTCAGAGCGTAAACGCTCTTTCCAAGCACCTTCATTCTCTCTGCGAGTTCTTGAAAATTTTTTACTTCCAGTGCGGCGTCCTTCTGTGCACACCCACTGTTGCTTGCGCTGGAAATCAATGACGTCATAGAAAAGCTTGCATGCGCGCTCCTTATCACACCGCCGTTAAAATTATTCTCGCTTGCTCTCTCGTTCTAACTCTTTAACACTT